TTCATGGAGAGTCTGTGGGTAAATAAAATTTGATACCGGCTCGGTAACAGTCTGTGAATATTTCCCATCAGTTTCTCTCAGAGCCGGACCGTTATGAAGAATTTTCCATTTGTTTTAACTTTTAAGAGGGAATGGAACAATTCTGCTATGGTAATAAACAGTAACTATACCTCACTTATGTGCACTCTTTCTCCCATAGGATCCCCAAAGTGTTTTGTCAATTGGAGTTACATACAGAAATCCCTTTCCTGCAGAAATCCAGCCTGCTTTGGGACAGGGGCTAGACGAAAAAGACGCATGGCAGGCAAATTGAGCTTTCTGGGATGAGAAAGGGCAATTTGGCCCATGATGTCAGCAATGATAATCAGGGCCTCATACACCCAGACATGCCTAGTCTCAAGCCAATCCCATGACTGCCTCTTTCAGCCTGGCCACACACTTCCCCAGCACAGCACAGCATCTCAATCCTGTGGCATCTCAGATCTAGGAGCCAGCTTGGAACGAGATCCTGAAGCAAGACGCAGTGGCAGCTGGGGATCATGCCATTGGGATGACATTCCTGAACAGCGGGTTGATACCTCTGGACCCATCCCGGCCCTGGCCTGTATGGCCAGGTGCAGTATTTGAAGGGGAAAGGGCTACATGAGTTTGTCCCGCATCTCCAAGTCTATCACCTGACATGATATCGGAGCCTTCCACTTCAGGTTTCTTGACCAGCCAGCATGCTTTGTAACACCATGGAACCAAATTGTACAGTGAGGGCACCTAAATCATGCAGATGTTTTATTAGCTTCAGATACTCATCACATAAAATTAGTCAGTGATTATTTTTCAAGGCAGGTTTTCCACTTCGTCTTCCAACTGGCTGCTCTCCTAAGCCTGTGATACTGTCCAAGAAGTCCAGTACAGGATGACCTTCCAATATAGGTCACAGAAAAGGGAGCTTATAGGAAACTTCAGCAGCTCATCCTTCTTAGTACTGCCTCTTGCGGTAATCTGCTGGCAGCAAAGCTGGCAAGGCAGCATAGCTGGTCCCCGCTGCCCTTTGGCTGCAGGCTGATTTTTTTGTATGTACTTATCACCCTGACCTGCCTGCCTCTGAGGGAGGTGACAAGAGCATGAGTAAGGAATTGGCTTATTAGGTCATTTTTGAACATAGCTAAGACTAATGTGATTTCTGTTACTAACTCGTCATTTTGTATGCTGTTCATACATATCTGAATGTGGCTCATTTTTTCAGGTCCACTCTCCGTCTAATAAGAATATTTTCAGGCCAGTTGCATTTGTAAAGCTTGGGGTGAAATGCAAACAGCAGGTCTTCAGATCTGGCACTATTAACCAGACTTCAGACTGCAGGTGTGGGCTGAACCAGATGTCTGAACTTTCAGGAAATTTGGCTTTGCTTTCAGTGTCATAGATCCCTCCCTAGGAGTGAGCAGGCTGACCAAAGTGTGTTTGTGGTACAGAAAGATATCCATCCTTGCTAGCACAGGGAATAGAACAACTGCAAAAGTGTTTCCCTATCCTAGAAAACCACTTGATATTAAAATTAAAAAAATAAGAAAGTTCTTCAAAACAGGGAGAAACAGATTCTTTCCATGCAGCCACAGTACTAACTTTGGATGCAGCAGGTGGAAGTCAAATCCTGGTGATGTCTCAATTAGACAGGGGTCTTCCATCCTAAGAGTGTTCCTGAGATATCTGTCTCCCACAGGGCTGTTCCACTGTATGTGACCATAAGCTCTTTTTTTGGCACTCTGAGACCACAGTTCAGAGCTTAAGACACTCATGCAAGGTGCAAGAGGGGAGGTTCAAATCCCGCTCTGAGTGCAGCAGAAGAGGGACTTGACCCAGGGTCACTCACATCCCAGGTTAACGCTTTATCGTTATATCGCTGGCTATTCTGCTGCCTCACTCACACTTTTGATCGGGGATTCCTGAACTTCAGGGAATCTTCCCAAAATGAGTTTCATCCAATTTCTGGATCTCATGAGTCAGCTGTTTTTCTTACAGTTGTCAAGTGTGAGTGCGCTCAGATGCAGTGATGCAGAAGGTAGGAGCGCAATTCCCTGCATGTTGCAGCTGGAAGGGAGACTGCTGTAACATCCCTTCCCCAAAGTAGAGTAGTTTTGCTCTACATGAGTTTCCATGTTTATGACATTTCCCCACCACCACCAAAACTTCTGCTATGTGTTATTAACGCTACCGCATTCCTAACAAAAGTGAAACCGGTTCCAATGGATCTAAACCAATATGTCTAAATGCACGCAGTTACTTATTTCAGTCTTACTCCTCCACCAAATTATCTATTTCATATTCAGCATGGTGGCATTGGTTATCCTGATCTCTTCCCCCCAAAATTATTTTTTCTGGGTTTAGGAGGTTACTCTGCAGGTTTGCGATTTGGCAGGCTAACAACCGAAGAAACATCTTTAAAGGATCAAACAAATTCAGAGCAATTTTACTTACATCAAAAGCTTGGCAGCATGTCAAGAGGTGTTGAGAACACCAGTCAGTCCTTGTGCGTAGGCAGGAGGAGCGCACATGGGCTGACATACTGTAACATGAGGCAGGAGGTAAGGGAGGATATACTGCTCTTTGTACATCAAGCTGAGTAGGATTAAGATATAATTGACAGAACATCGCCACTTAAACGTCTTTTAACCACTTTTAAGATATTCGGCAGTTAACAATGGGCAGGAATCCTACATCTCTGACCACAGTTTTTCTTTCTCCATTACCCAGGACATTTTTCTAATTGTGCTAAAGGATTTACTAAGTTCTCTGTCAGAGAGCATCCAAGATTTCATTTGTAGCACTACTGATATTTATGTGAAAAATTGTACAAGTGCCAGAAGATAATCGATTCAGTATTTTGACTGAAAGGAGTCAATCTGTCACATGCAAGTCATCACATATAATGGGTATGTTTGTATTCCCTGCTTTCGGCTTGCCAAAGCTGTAAAAATATATTAGTAAAACGCAGCACGTGGGTTACCCGTCTCCTCTGTTACACAGGCTGCGGGCCAGCCTTGGCAGAGTCTGGACAGTATGTTTGCACTCACAAAACTGTGCAAGAGTTGACGTTTCCTGAGTGTGACTGTGTTTCGCGCTGCTCCCCTGTGGTTTGAGCTGGGAGCTGGCTGGAGCCCCCGGGAAAGTCTCCGGGTTTCCAGGGATGGATGGAGGGCAAGAGGGAGGTGGGAAGGGGCAGTCAGCTGGAGTGAGCTGCCCAAGTAAGAGCGCGGCGTGCTGCTGCCCTGAAAGTTTTCGTTTCCCCTCAAAGCGACAGCTGCACATACCTCCAGGGAAACTGTGCTGAAGTAACCACAAGGAGAAGGGAAAAATCTGTCAGGGGCGAGGGGGGACAAACCCATATGGCATTGCACCCTCTTTGCTTAAGGGACAGCGGCAAAGGAGTTCGGAGCATGTGTTGGCATAAAATGCCCCATGCTGAAGAGATTGGTTGATTTTCCAAAAGAGTGGAAACTGGGGTGAGGATGGGATTAAATGCACATTCTTCTCTCATAAAGACTGCACGCAAGTTTATGCACTAAGCACTGTTTAAGCACAACCCAGCTTCTGAAATGACTGTAAAAAGCTCTACTATTTGTATATTTGGGGGGGGGGGGGGGGGGTGGCAGGAAATGCTCATGTATATGCTAAGTTTTTCCTCTCTGCTGCAGAGATTACAGCAAGAAATTTCTTCTCTTTTGCTCATGAGACCTCTTCCTTATGGGTTTTAGGAGCTGGACATGTGGAGGGATTCATTCCTTAGGTCAGGTGTTTTCACTTCTCTTGATTTTTATGTTTTTTATGCCACTGCAGAGCAGTTCCTTACTGAGGTGAACTTTTCCCAGCTTTCACTGACCTATCTCTGAAAATCAAACTTCATGCACTTCAGTGCACTTCAGCTAGGAGCTGAGTAGCTCTTGGTCAAGATCTTCACCTCACATCCAGCTGCTGTATGGGGCTGAGCCACCTGTACAGCTCAGAAGTAGCCTTGGAAGAGCCATACCTTGCTGCATCATCACCCATAGGTGCCCAAAGTCCCTCAGGTGGACTTCCCTCCTGGTGTGATGCATTGCTATAGAAGGATGCGCTGAGCTGAGCACTTGTGCAGTAGAGGTCAGGCTGTTCCTGGAGGAGGAAAAAACTTCACATCTGGGCACTGCAGAGGTGTGAGGCCACCAGCACTGCCCAGGGTACACAAAGAGGCTCAGAGCACTCCCCTGCTCCCTCAGCCCTCGTGGAGACCTTCTAGGTGGCCACATCACAGCGGCAGTTCGAGGTGGGGACTGCTGGAGAGGTGGGGGTTTCACCTTTCTATTTCACCTAGCACTACAGGGCACAGAGTTGAGACCTTGATGCTGCTCTGTGGTAGTGGTATAGACAACTAGAGTGGTAAGGGACAAAGTGGTGTGTTGTCGATACAGGTGGATGGGTGGTCTTAATTAAGATAACAAAAAGCACAAACAGCTTTTCAATTCAACATTGCTTTCTCCAGCCATAGCTTTGCATTCAGTATCCCTTGAGGGCTCATTTGACCCCAGACCTGCTTGCTTTCCTGATTTTGTATGCAAGCTGAAAGGAGGATTAGTGGCCCTAATTCCACTACCTTTACTCTGTGTGACTGATCACATAAGTCTTCCCACACCTCTTACGTTTAATTAGCTGTAATTTTGATTTATACCATTATTTGCATAGAAGGTACAACAGATCAGCTCCTCCTAGGGAACAGCAACCTGTAAACATAAACAAAGAGGCTTTTGTCAGCTATTAATGGAAACATTGATTAATCTCCCATTGCTTTGGTAGCCTGCCGAAAAGCCCATAAAGCAGCAAACTAAATTGTTCATTAAACTAACCAGGCTGTAAGTGCCAGGATGTGGATGCAAATGTATGTTGAGTGTGTTTCAGCTGGAAATGCAAACTCCTGTTATCATACTGCTGCACTGCAGGAGACCTTCTTAACATCTTCCCTTTCCTTTCCTTTGCAGATGATGCCAGCTCAGGAAAGGATAGCCAGGTACCTGAAGGCTCCAATGGAGAATATGAAGATCATTCTGGGAAGCAATGGGGTAAGGAGCAGTGTATATTTTTGGTTTTCCTTGGTTCTTGGTTCAGTGCTGTTCATGCGGCACATTTCTCAGTTGCTGAGGGAAAGGAAAGGCAGAGCGACTGGAGTGAGTTCTCCCTACAGATGGTCAAATAATAAACAGAGCGTCAGCTGAACATGTCGGTGTGAATGGATCCCATCCAAGGGTCCTTCTGTGAAATGCAGCCCGTGGTCCGCTCTAGGGCCCCCTGCCATATACCCCAGCATGGTTCTCCCTTGCATTTGTTTTTCTGGGCAGTGACTTTCTTTTGCATGTGCAGCTATTATAGCTTTCATAGACTCCCTATAAAAGGCATACTGACTTTTACAGGAGTATTTCCAAAAGCCTTCGGTGCCAACATAACACTGCTCCCACTGAGGGCAAATGGGAGGTCTGACTTCACTTCAGGAGAATTAGCATTAGGCCAAAGCTGAGTATTTTTTAAAATTACCCTCTCTTTTAGACACCTGCATGAACTTCTCTAAGCCCTGGACTGTTCAAGCATAGGATTTTGATGCTGTTGCAGAGCTTTGGGGAACTGCTAAAATCTCACTTGGAATAGGTTCTGAATCACCGCAAGACTTGCAGGTCCAAAGTTTGGTCCAAGCACTCCTTGAAGGACAATAAGTTGTCAGGCTGATGCCAAACAGCTTTTGGCCATTACCGACAGGAGTGAGATGTGAGTTTATAACCTCAAGGGATGAAGCACAGCATTTCCATTTTGCTCTTGCAGTACATACCTCCTTTTAATATAATACAGAGATGGCTTTGTACCACATTCGTGGCCAGGGAGTAACCTCATAGCGATGGTAGGGGTGGAACCTGTCAAGGTTTCACCGTATGAGTCCCCACCACTTGAGCTGAGGCCAGTTTACTGCAGGAGCTGGCAAACAAGGGATGTGGTGTGCTGTGGTGTAGTGCAGTCCACACCTGGAGGAGGCAGTACCATAATAGCTTTGAATTACAGATTCCTCTTAGACTGAGCTTGCTCTGGGAGAGGAAGGACGCCACTCATTCCAGAAAAGGATGAGAACATTTTAGACCTAGAAAAAGGGTAGCTTAGATAAACTCCACGTCAGGAGTCCTTCAGGAGGGATTCAGCAGCTAGCAAGAGAAGTTGCCGTCTCTCAACTCTTCATTACCCTCATGGAGATAGAGCGGACATTGAATGCCATGGCAGATGTATTCCTGGTAGAGCTAGTGAATGACGATCAATACAGCAATAATATTATGAAAAAGATGTAAGCACTCCTAAAATTATTAGTCATTGACAATCTCATATCAGATTGTGTCTTACTCTGTTCTGCCCTGGCTCAGTCCTTCTTTGTGCTGCAGAGTGTTCCTGCACCTCTGCTTTCTTCCCTTTCCCTCCTTCCCTCCTGTCTCCTCTCCCCAAGCAGGGAAATGGCTGGGGCTGGCCACACACCCACCCAAGCCCTTTCCATCCAGCAGTGTTCACCAGCAAAGTGCTTCTGTGAGCTGGTGTGCAGGGAGGGTTAGTGTGTGCGTCTGCAGGTCTCTGGAGGATAATAGGTGAAGGAGCAGTTTGTGTTTGCAGAGTCCTGGGCCTTAGAGAAGTGGGAGAGGAGCAGCATGGTAAAAAACCTCCTCCACTTTGCTTTCCAGCTACCATCATGGAGTGGTATTGTTGGGGAAAGCTCCTGCCCCCACCAAGAGCAGGGAGCTGATATGGGGAAAGATAGATACCTCCATCCATGTCCTCCCACAACTGACTGAGCTCTTACCCAAAAGATTTGAAAGTATTTCAATACTTAGTCGTATCATGACACCTTTTTGTATAAGTATCATGAACTCTGGAAGTGGTACTGACCGTCACTATGTGGAGGCAAACGTGGTGGATGGCAGCAGCCTACATCTTTTAGCTGAACACCTCAGTTTGTATGAGCAACAGCTGACAGGAGCCTCTGGGACTAATCCATGCACCTCAAGGTGTCCTGTGGGGCAAGGAGACTGCTGAATTCCTTCCCAGGTCTTTGTGCCAGCAGTCTTCTGTTTCATTTAATTTTCATTAGCTTGAATAAATCTTCATTGTAAACAGCATTTCAGCAAGGAACCCGTACACAACACTGTCTCCTTGTCCCCATCCACTCGTGTTTTCCCTTGCTCTTGTGTGTGGCATAATTTATACTGTACAAATGGGCGGTTCATGTTTATGAAGCAAACGCCAAGTGATGTGGAGGAGAACAAGCATATGAAGTATAAATAACACAGAGGCACTTTGTGATGGCCTTTGCTGGCACTCCAACAAGCAAAACTTCTGTAAATGGTACAGATTTGGGGCAGACATTTACTAGCACCAACTCCAAAGAGACTTTTTCTGCCTCTCACACTGCTGCTTCTCCCTCTTTCTCCTTTGTGCTTGCTTGGTGTCTTTTTGTCTCTCGTGTGTGTGTCTGTGTCTTTCTCCTTTTTTGTTAACTGGCTTTTCTAAACTTGTCCAGTTCAGACTTTTGTCAGGGAAACATTCAGGACTGTGTAAAAGGCATCTGGTTTCAGCATATTGCACGCAGCCTGGAGTAGCTTTTGAGACCACATAATTACTTAACCTTCTTTAAACAGAAGAAGAAAGAAAGACAGAAAGAGCCAAAGAAGTTTAGCTTTACCTGTAGTTTGGTATGTATCTGGGCAACAATGTAGAAGAGGTGAATGCAAAGCTCCAGACAGATTCATGGGAATCGCACTGGGAGGAAAGCCAGAAATGTTAGAGGCCTGCTTTTTCGGGAGGAAAGAGGGTTTCTGTCTTGCAATACCCTTACTGAGCAGGGACACCAAGTCCTTCTGAAATATTGCTGTGGAAGCAGGGAAGCAAGAACTTAGCCTCACTCACTTGACTATTCACTCTGCATGGGCAGTGTGAACTGTCCTGGCTCCAACCTGCTCTTTGATACGTTAGTCCCAGCCCAGGAATCCCATCCAGCAAAGATCTACCCCATCTGGACCTGCAGTTCCTGGTCTCGGAGTAAATAAATTACCACTTTATTAGAAGATAACCATTGAGGCCCATTTCACAGCTGGTTCTTAACCTCTCCATGCACCTTGCAGGCATTCACTCGATTTCCACAGTGACAGCCCTTATCAGCACGTCTCCCTTGGCTCAGACTTAAACTTCAGCATGTCATTGCTCACAACGTGCAGGTCTGACGGGGTTAATTGTCTCTCTGGGAAGGTGATTGTTTTTGCTGGGAGGGGACCTCCTCTTGCAGCAGACCCCAAGGGAATACCCAGCAATTTACGCACCAGGACCTGTGGAGTGTATTAGTATGTCACACTTGCTGCTCAGCTGTCACGGCACAGACTTTCAGTGCCAGAGTTGCTCCGGTTCATTAGATTACACATGAAAGCCTCTGTAGAGAGAGTAAAGCATTTCTGAGCAAGCATTTGAAATAACATGAAATGGCTGGGACCCAAAGTGACAGCCAAGGGGGCAAGGAGGCAGATGGTTTCCCCTACAGAAAAGGACTCTGAAGAGAGGGGTATGCCAAAGGGTGTCTTCTTCCGAGAGGGAGGGATGTTGGGCAAGGCTGCAAGGGGGTGAGAACTAAGGCATATGTTCAGAGGGCAACGGCTGCCATTCCCCAGTGCTTGGCAAGAGGCGGCTGCAGGCCAGCCTCCTTCACCCAGCAAAGATCTGCTATAATGCACATCCCAGAGCTTCTGGCCCTCAGCCCTGGGCAGCAGGGCTGGCTTTGTAGCAGGGAGTCCCACCGTGCTGCCCTGTAGCAAACTTCCCTCATACCTGAAGCAAACTTCCCTCATATGTTCAGAAGGAACTTCTCATCTTGCTTTGGTGTGTTATGTGCTTCTGAGGTTGTGGCTGTCCAGTTGCCATTGGTGAAGGTCAGCGGCTGATGGGCATAATTCAACTCAATGTGCCACAGAGCAGGTCACTCATTACCAATTTCTCTTATTTCCCAAGAAAAGGATCAGGGAGGATTTACCAGGGGAGTGCAAAAATGCAGGGTGACTGCCCTTTGGGCTGAAGAGTAAGATCATGGCAAGCAAGAAACAGGGTTTAAAAGCAGGGAGAAACCTGTTGTGGAAATGCTGAATGGACTCAGAGGCTTTGCCAAAATTTAAAAAAAAAAAAAAAAAAGGAAAGAGGTATATTTGTATATTTGGCAGGAGTGTTTTGGATGTAGGGGGAGAGAGGCAAGTGGGAGTCAGAAGTGGTGTTAATCTCAGCAGGAGGCTGCAGTTAGAAGTGCTCCTGGACTGGCATTGCATAATTAAAGTAACTGTGAGAAATTTGTAATTTCTTTTGAATTCTTCACTACAGGATACTATTAAGCAAGCTTTTCCCTTGCAACAGATCATGTTCTATTGTTTCAACTTTCTTAAAAGTTTTTGCAAAGATCTTTTTCTTTCTGTTGATTAGTTATACCAACTCGTGACTTTACAGGAAGACCCTCTGCAATGTCAGGAAAACTACCAGGTAGCCACCTGTTTTCCCTCTGAAATTCTGACATAATCTGATTTAAAGTTAGGTGCAGTCGAGAGTATAAATTCCAGATTTTGCCAGGTGAGGATCTTGCATTTCTCTAGCATTCTTGTCACTACCTTTAGAAATATTGGTGATTTCCCTGCTAAGATAGGATGACTATCTTAACCCATGATTCTGTCCACCAGTAGCTATTGCTTCATCTTCTCCATTTTTGGGATGGACTGGCATGGGGTATCTTCTAGAAACAAAGTGAAGGGTTTTTTTTATTGAGTCTTTCCATTTATTTGTTTTCTTCTTTGGGTCTTTCAATGTGAATGCTTCATAAATTAATGTCGGATGAATCACATACATTTCAGTTCTGATCAACGTACCACAGTCTGGCATGCTTCTAAGACTTTGCTACATATTGAAAAGATATTGACCCTTCTCAAGTCCCATTAAAGCCAGTGAGAACTAAGGGGCAAAATACATCTTCAGAAAGCTTCAAGTGACCAGCAAAAGATTGAGAAAATGGCCAGCCTGACAGGAGTCTGAGGTTTTTCCTTTGGTCTTGGCTCAGGGTTTGCATTCGTGGCATTGAATATGGTAACAATTATAATGTGATTATGGGGCCGCATTTTGCCTTCAGCTGCACTAGCGTGATTTTGGTATTATTTCGTGAGATGGTCTGGCGCAGTTGCATTACAGACACTGAGAAATGCCAGGGTTGTGCTATGCAGAAGGCTAATGCGGTGGCCATACAGTCCAGTAGACATTCCAATGCATCAGGCTGGATAGTGCCTCCTTTCTAAGGAAATCAGTCTGAGCTGGCATGAGAGATAGTATGTATGGGGCTGCCGGGTGCCTCTCAAGCAAATTTGGCCATAACACTTGACAGCGGTATCCTTCTTTGCATGCCCTTTGCTCACCACAGTCAATTTTTCATGCCTTTTTCAGCCCGGCCCAGGTTCACACAGCCTGCCAAGATGAGACGGAGAGTGATCGCCCGTCCTGTCGGCAGCTCCATCCGCCTGAAGTGTGTGGCCAGCGGGAACCCACGGCCTGACATCACGTGGCTGAAGGACAACAAGCCCCTCACGCCCCAAGAGATTGGGGAGAACAAGAAGAAGAAGTGGACGCTGAACCTGAAGAACCTGAAGCCAGAGGATAGTGGGAAATACACCTGCCGAGTGTTCAACAAAGTTGGAGAAATCAACGCGACATACAAAGTTGAAGTAATCCGTAAGTGCAGCATCTGGGGTGGAAAGGCAGAGAGGGAACTTTGGGAAGGGGGCTGGCTGAGTAAAGAGAGCATGATGGCAACTGTGCAGTGCCAATAGCTGGACACAGAAATTGGGAAATGTTAAAAACATCAGCAGAGACAGAGAAAACGTTACTGAAACTAGAATAAACCTAACCCCTGCAGCAACAATACAATTTAGTAGGTGAAATGAGAAGAGATACTTGGGAAACAGTCATCTCTAAGGGCACACCTGCGTGGTAAAAGTTCACCATTGCCCAGTTAAGTCTTACACTACCAACAGAGTCAATTCAAGGGCAGATTGAGCACTAGCTGAGAAAGCCCTTTCATATACCATAGAGGAGGGGTGGGAATATTTAGAATGGCCCAGATTACTCTGTCACAGTGGTAATAGGGTAAAACCAATTAATTGAAAATTTAGTGTAGATAGCTGTAATAGGAGGCCTACTTCATTAGAGAAGTTTCCCAAGGGAATTAGCAGAAATCTTATGACTAGATTAGCCAGACAAGGCTTTAGGGCCAGATTTTAAAAAAAACATATGGACATCTGCAGGTTCAGGTGGGTACAAATGGGGTACTAAAAAAAATTTTTAAATCCCACTAGGGTCCTGTCTGTATCTTTAGATCCCTGCATAGCTTTAAAGATTCAGCCCTTAGAAGATGAGCTGGGGGGGGATTATCTGGCATTGTGATGGGGTAAATTGCTCTTCTTACTGCCTAACTATTCTGATTCTTGGTCTCTAATCTCCTGTTTCCCCTATTATTACTGAAGATAATTATACCCAAATCCTACCTAAGTCTACCAGAGAAGAGCTCTTATTCTTAAATCATCATGCTTTGTCTATGACATCATCATAAGTTGTCATGGAAATGATTACAGAGCAGCCAACTGAAGAAAGTGGAGAAGATGAGCTAAGTGGAGGGAAGACTGAATAGCCTTTATTAATGAGGAGCAGGGGCATAGAGGGCTATTTCCAGCCACATGGAAAGCACATTGTTTGTCTGTCTGTGCATACATTTTAGCATGAGAAAGTTTATCCCAGTGTGAAAGATTGTTCTTAAAGGTAAAGATCTGTTCTCTGATAAGTCCTTTCTCCAGAATCACAGGAATTAAAAGCACATGTGGGGAGCTCTGTTGGGCTCCGAAGGCACAAACCTGCTGGACATCTGGGATTGATAAAGATGCAGCTGTGTGGAGACAGTAAAAACATGTGTTTACACTAAAACCAGGAGCAGAGACAGGGAAATGAATCAAGCCCCATCCTAATGGCAGCTGTGGCATTTTCACTTCATCAAAACCAGACAGCACCAGGAACAAACCCCTTTCTGTGTCCCTGTTTATCTTGGTTTTTATCAACTTAAAGATGTATGTAACCTTTGTTTTCATTAGCTTTTGCTGGCTAGGAGTGAAAACAGTAACCAAAGCTGGAACCCAAGTCAAGGAGATAAGGGCATTAAGCAGTTTTCAGATGTCTTTCTATTTTTAACATCATTCTGTGGAGCATTTCAGGTTTTATTCAATTTCCTCCTTTTTTTTTCCCCACTGAGCCTCCACTCCTAAGTCTGTCCTGCTTATCTGAGTCTCAGTCTCCCCAGCTGTGATTCCTGTGTGTACTCACAAGGCAAAGTCTATAGAGACCACTGTGGTATTTTTGTTTCCCAAGCACATCTTTAGAGCCTTCATTATTGAAAGTATCCTGAGTTTTTGAAAGAGGGTCCATTGTTCCTCCCTTTCACCCCAAAGCCAGTGCTGGTGGGAGCTGATTTGTTACATCCTCAATCCAACAGTGTTTGCCGTCAAAAGCAGTTGATGATTGCCAGCAGTTACCACCCACAGTGATACCATAATTTCTCTCTGTGCCTAGGATAGAGGTTTGCTGTACCTCCTTGGCTGGAAACTGTGACTGATTTCTCTGATGCTAGCACTAAAAAAAGTCCGAACATTCCTCACAATGAGGGAAATATTTTTCCTTTAACTTTATGTGGTGTTGACACAACCTAAGGCTTACAATCATGCTGGAAAGGATGGTCTTGTGAACCCCTCCCGTTTGATTTCCTTTCTTACCATCTTGTTTCCTTCATCGGCTGAGACGAGGCAAAAATTTTGTGAGAAAGGAAAGATTGTTATTTGGTTTTGTTATTTGAAAGATGTTGTTATTTGAAAAACAAAAGGCTTCTGGGCTCTTCCTCCACAAAAATGTGTCCATAGTGAGTGTGGGAACCATTAGACTGAAGAAAGGAATAATAAAAGTAGTGGGATGAGGATGAAGTGAAGATCTTCCTCACCTGTAGTGCTTGTGGTCTCAGCTCCCCCAGCAGTGGATGACATGGCATGGGATGGCTTCCAGTAGAGTTTGGTCCCTGTGGGCATCTACAAGGCCCAGCAACAGAAATGACAGATATCTCCTGAAGGACTCCCAGACAACAGATGAGACAATATCCACAGCCTGCCCTGGCTGCCATTCGTCTCGGGGGGGGAGCTTTTCCCATCCAATTTTGTCTGTCCTTAGGGAACATCTGGGAAGACCAAAAGGAGAAGGAACATCTCTTATCCCCCCTCACTGTCCTCAGACAGGGTAGACACAGTGGTTCTAGTGTGGACTGTCAATATATATGTACTTGTAAATAATCTGGTAAAAAAATGAGGTTGGATGTGAGAATACACAAGGTTGTGTCATATTCACCTGTAAATTACACTCTACCAGACATGGTGGTAAGATACGTAACATCACAGAATGGCTGGAGGTTATCTGGTCCAATCCTCCTTGCTCAAGTAAGACCACCTAGAGCTGGTTGGCCAGGATCATGTCCAGGCAGCTTTTGAATATCACCAAGAATGGAGACTCCACCATCTCTGAGCAACCTGTGCCAGTTCTGGGTCACCCTCACAGTCAAAAAGTGTTTCCTGATGTTCAGAAGGAACCTCCCATGTTTCAGTTTGTGGTCATTGCCTCTGGCCCTGTCACTGGACACCACTGAAAAGAGCCTGGCTTCATCTTCTTTACACTCTCTTTTAGATATTTATAAACATTGATAAGACATTATCAGAGTCAGTATCAAGTGAGCATTTACAATGAAATAATCCACTTCATTTGTGTTCAGACTCGTACTGCTGCCAAAATTTAATCCTGAAATGGGTGTTGGCCTTCTTGACTACTCTCAGGTCATTTGTCTTCCTCTGGTCAAGAATCAGTAAAATCACTGCAGCCTCTGATCCTGTAGGTCAAGGTACATCATTAAGATCCTGTTATTCTGGCATATGGTCCCTGAGACACGGGGTTTAGTGGGAGTGCAAGGAAGGATGGCCCCTTTTGTCATCTCATAGCTGCAGCGTACAGCAAGGAACTGGGGAAATTCAGCAGTCCAAACTGGACTTAAAATACTTGCCAAAGAGCAGAAAGGTCAGGTCTGACTTGTGTGGTGTCAGGTAATACCACCACAAACTGGGTACCCAAATATAAATGCTTCATGAATGACCTGAGAGAGCAGAAACACAGAAAAGACAGAAAAACCTTCTATAGGAGATTCTTAGAACCCTGTTTGCTTAGCAGTTAGGAGGGTTGTTCAGTGTACAGAAGAGAGGGCTGAAGAAAATCTTCCAAAATATAAGGGCTAAGAGGGAGAGCAAACTTTTCTCCAGGTCTGATGCACATAGAGTAAGTAACTTCCTTGTTAGAAACAGGAAGATTCAGATTGAGCATGAGAAAAGAGTTGATAAACCTCAGGCAATGGAGGACATGTCTGGAGAGACTGAAGAGTATCTACCTTATGAGGCTTTGGCAGAGGTTGGGCAAATTTTTGTCAGGAGAGGTTGCAGAAATCTCAGCCTGCCTTGGGGCAGGGAGTTGGTCTAGACAATTTTTTTGCATCCCTCCTACACCTTTTTCCTATGTTTCTGCAATCACAAGTTAATGCGATTGACAAACATCTCTTTCCATGGGGCTCCCTGTGTTTTTGTGCAGAGAGGACGAGGTCCAAGCCCATCCTGACAGGGACGCACCCTGTCAACACGACGGTAGACTATGGTGGGACCACGTCCTTCCAGTGCAAAGTCCGCAGCGATGTCAAACCTGTCATCCAGTGGCTGAAAAGGGTGGAGTATGGCACAGAGAGCAAGTACAACTCAACCATCGACGTTGGGGGACAGAAGTTTGTTGTGCTGCCCACGGGGGAGGTCTGGTCCCGTCCCGATGGTTCCTACCTGAACAAACTGATGATTACTCGAGCCAAGGAAGAAGATGCAGGGATGTACATTTGCCTAGGAGCGAATACCATGGGCTACAGCTTTCGCAGTGCTTTTCTCACAGTCCTGCCAGGTGAGTTATGCCTTTTTTCCCCCCATCTGAACCAATAGTCTGCATCATGGCGTTTATTAACACAACTACTGATGCCCTTTGGGCTCCATGGCCCTCTGTGATGCTGTGCTGATTTAGGCTAGCCCAGTTCTGATAAGAATGACTGAGGGACTAAATCAGCCCTGATTTAAATCAGCCCCTGCTGAAATCCTCTTGAGGATGTTTCCTTTCCTGCCTTCATGGGGAATAATAATTCCATCAAAGTGAAATAAAATGAATGATCTGCTCCTGTATGGAAGAGGAGCTTGGGAAAGGATACTACAGTTGCAAGCACTACGTGACTTCAGCAATAGGGTGCAGGATGTGAGAAGAGAACTGAATAGCCACACAGTTTGCAACCCCATTCCCTTACATTTCGCCTTTCTCTTGCTGTTATTTATATTGCTTTTACTGGTAAAAGGAAACAATGATACAAGCCCATAAAATGAGAAAAGAAGGAAAACTGTCCCGGTCACAAGGAAAGGAAAAGAATGAGTGTGAAAAAGAGAATGATTGAATAGTTAAATTCTTACCCAATGATCCCCTGGGGACCCTTGCACCAAACTCGCAGCTGCTGCCTTCTCTCCCCAGGCCTCAGAGCTGGTGGCCACATCGAACTGAGGCTGTATTGAGTGTGTTTGAGGCACACCGTCCTCGCTTTGTCATTTGTCCAGTGCCTCACCACACTCACAGTAAAGAATTTCTTCTTTATATCTAATCTAAATCTACTCTCTTTCAGTTTTAAAGCCAGAATTAGATACTGACAGCAGGTTGCCAAGTAAGAGAATGCTCTTAGAGTCATCTTCTGCATCCCTTAGATTTAGGACTAAACTCCAACTAGAAAGCCTGTCAATCCCAAGGAAAAGGCTGCATGGGTGGGATATAGCTCAAAGCCTCTGAGAGTTTCTGAACTATGAGAGTCTGATCCAGCTCCCACTGTGTCGTGGTTTAACCCCAGCCTGCAGCTAAGCCCTACGCAGCCGCTTACTCACTCCCCCACAGCGGGATGGGGGAGAGAACCAGACAAGTAAAAGTGCAAAACTCATGGGATGAGCTAAAGACAGTTTAATAAGTAAAGCAAAAGCCACGCACACAAGCAAAGCAAGACAAGGAATTCATTCCCCACTGCCCATGGGCAGGCAGGTGTTCAGCCATCTCCAGGAAAGCAGGGCTCCATCACGTGTAACGGTGACTTGGGAACACAAACGCCATCACTCTGAACGTCCCTCCCTTCCTCCTTCTCCCCCCACCTTTACATGCTGAGCATGACGTCATATGGTATGGAATGTCCCTTTGGTCCTGGGGATCAGCTGTCCCGGCTGTGTCCCCTCCCAACTCCCTGTGCACCCCCAGCTACTCGCTGGTGGGGTGGGGTGAGGAGCAGAGAAGCCCTTGGCTCTGTGTAAGCACTGCTCAGCAGTAATGAGAACATCCCTGTGTCATCAACACTGTTTTCAGTACAAATCCCAAACACAGCCCCGTACCAGCTACTGTGAAGAAAATTAACCCCATCCCAGCCAAAACCAGCACACACTGAAATCAGTGGGAGACTTTCCATTGCTTTAAATGGCTCTATAATGAGGCCTCATACCAGAACCAGAGCCTGCAGGCCTGTTGTTATTGGCAGTGACAAAGGAGAACTCAGCTTGCCCTCAGAGGCAAAGATGTGGTTGCAAGGCCATGAATTAGAAAAACATCATTTTGCTTGTAAATCTACCAGATTTGACATAGACAGCTCCGAAGAACAGTGTGGGTGATTATGAAAACACTTTCATTTCAGCCCAGCAGAGGATTTCTGCCAACCAACATGAAGACTGTTGTTTTCATAGTCAGCCGATGGGTCAGTTCTCTGATCCCATCTTGTTTTGAGCAGAGGACTGGACCGGATGACCTCCAGAGTCCCCTTCCAGCCTAAATTATTCTGTAATTTCCAGGTTTGGTGAATCAAAATTTTGTCTGTTGACATCAACAGTATAGGTCCTTCTGACTTCAAAGAGACCACATAGTATATATTTAATATTTCAAACTAGCTGTAGGATTATTTGTCAAGGAGACAAAAAGACATCAGCGCCTTAAAGAAGTTTGGCTCCAAAGTTAAGTGATACACGTTTGAATATAACAAATTGGGTGATCTGGATAGCCTGTGGTTTTCAAAGTTTCTTGAGTGTCTCCCGCAAGCTGAATTCTGTGCCTAGGTATTTTTCAGGGCTTTGGAAATCCCAGCTGGTAGCTATCTAGATGGAGAGTTTGATAGTTAGGATCCTACCCCAGGAATCCTTTTGGGTCTATAAATCAAGAGATCAGGCTGAGAAACTGAAGTGGCTGCCCAGGAATGTACAGGCTGCCAACAGCAGAGTGAGGAAGGGGGAGGTAGGTGTGAAAGATGCTGTCTGAAGCATCTTATCTCCTCCAGTAGCTGAGTTTGCTGTCCTGGGAAAGCCAACGGCAGCTCCAAAGAGACTAGTGGAGGTAGAGCCCATTTAGCACAGGGACGTGAACACACACTTCAGTGTCATGTGAACTTTCAGTTCTCCATTGGCTTGGGCACCAAGGAGGAGACACCAGCTCACCTATGTTCTTTCCCATCCTTCGTCCTTCTTCTCAGCCACACAAGAAACTCAAGACAACACCTCCAAAACACCACATTTGTGCTACCTGCCATGGTGGAGCGTTGCTGAGTAGCTCCATTATCGCTAGACAGGGATACTAAAGAGTGTCTAAAGCTCACGCAGACACAGAGGCAAGTGGGCAATGTGCTGTTGCTCTGCACAACCCGATCGTGCCTTCTGGGCTGCTGACATGGATGTATTACTGACACGTCCCATGTTGTGTCCTCCAATATGGGCAGTGAAGCACACTCCATCACAGAGTGAGGGTGTTAGGAAACTCTCTTGGGCTGTCTCTAGCATACCCATTAAAGCTTGGATAAGAAAGTTAAAAAATCCCCCAAAGACTCCCCTCCTGACCCCTAAACCAGAGAAAATGAGTTGTTTGTCCTTCCAGGAGCACTAAAAAGCAAAGCAGTTACCAAACATCATGTGCTGGCTTGATTTCTCCCTTGTTACTTGGTCTGGCAGGGTTGCCAGACAGCCTGTACAAAAGCCAGCCCAAGTGTGACATCTGTTTTGAATTCACTTTGCCTGCATTTAATTAACTCTTTCTGTCTCTCTCCTGCTGTGATGTCCAGATCCCAAGCCTCCAAGTGCACCTGTGCCCCCTTCCTCGGCCAGCAGCCTTCCCTGGCCCGTGATCATCGGCATCCCAGCCGGAGCAGTCTTCATTTTTGGGACGATCCTCTTGTGGCTTTGCCAGACCAAGAAGAAACCCTGCGCCCCACCAGCTGCTGCCCCCGTGCACCGGCCGCAGCCCCGGGACAGGATCTGCGTCTCCCAGGTCCCCGACAAAGACTGCATCTCCTCCATAAACTATGAGGAATATGTCGCCCAGCAGCAGCATTTGCTGTCCCAAGGGCCTGCACTCGCCCCGGCCATGGCATCCAAAATGTACCCAAAGATTTACACGGACATCCACACTCACACCCACTCGCACGTGGAAGGCAAAGTCCATCAGCACCAGCACATTCAGTACCAGTGCTAAGAGGGCGGCCATGTACAGTAGCTTGTTTGGGCTTTTCCTCGTGGTACCTCAGAAGAGACTGCTCAAGTCAGCTCACACTGCCAGCAATAGGCAAAACAGACAGAAAAGATTATATATATAATTTTA